AGAGAGCATGTAGCTCCCTGGAAAGAATACGCAGTTTGGTGTCTAGAGGACTGGAGTTTGGTCCTATCTAAGTCACTCACATTCTGAAAAACCTTAAGTGAGTCCCATAACCCACTGAACATCCATTTTCTCATTTATTTCAATGGATATGTTATGAAATATTTTGGTTTCAGCTGCATGCAGCCCTACCCGAGTGTGGCTTAAGCAGTTAGAAGCTTGATGACCTCCCATATAGGACAGCTGATTCCTCTAGCTCAGCCCCGCTGGGGCTCTCAAGAGGCCTCTGTACCTCTGGACATCCCCTCCTCATGCTGAGAGCTGCCACCATTCCAAAGCTCGTTTTTCTCCTCTGGGTCTCCTTGCATGTACATTTATTAGGGAGGACTGCCTTTCTCTGAAGCCCCACTACAGTACCCTCCAGTCCTGTTGTCTGTGTTTTCTCTCACATGCCTGTGTGACAGCAGGTCAGACGTTGCCATTTCTGAAGTAGAAGGCTGCTCATGCCAGCAGGAAGAGAGGAAGGAAGAGAGGATGACTATATTTGTGGTACAGGAAGCTGACTTGCTTCTCCATGGGATTTCGATGATAATATAACTGTTATTGGGTTGTTAAGAGCAAACAGAAAGTGCAACATGGGGATCCCTAACAGGTGGCCCATATTTTTCCCATTGATGTTATATTTGTCCAGATACATGTTTAAAAAGAAAATGTGAATGCCCTTAGGTGGAGCTTGTCTTCTCCAGTGTGGCCACAGTCTCTACCATGCCCTATTGTCTTATGCTTAGTTCTTTCACTCATTTTGCTACCTGCCTGGTTCCTCAAGACATTTAAGTTTGCAAGCCCTGTGGTAGAACATCGCAGTATCCATATGCAACTAGTTTATTCTTACACATGCAATTAGAGCACAGACATCTTAATTAAAAGGTAAATCCTTTATTTTCTCAGTGGATTTAATCGTGAGTTGGGGAGGTTGGATCTGGATATTCTAGTCCCCCTGCTTTGGCCTCCCTTTTCTGAGATCCACCATGAGAGGTACGGGCTGGTCATAGGACAGTTACCTGGCCCCTGGTGGTGTTTGCCCAGAACTGCCTTGGGAGGTTGGATTTCTCTCTAAGGTACTAGAGCCAGTATGGTTTGGGCAGTATCTCCTTTGCAATATGGACACTCTCACAGGTTAATTACAAAACAAGCAAACAAACAAAAAGCCAAAGGTACTCCATTTCAGTGTTTGTAGACCATGTGTTCATGGGGCCTATAGTGGTTTCCGTTTCTCCTTGGCATGCATCTCCCTGATAATTTGAAAGCTGCTGACATTCTGTATCAGTCCATATGCAGTACCAATTTATTTTCTTCCTCTTTTTCTTTCTTTCTCATTTGTTTCCTCAAAGGAAAAAAAGTACATGGCTTTCTTGCCTTGAGATGTAAATTCCACATTTTGGCTGCATTAGCTTCCAAGTTTTCTGAGAAAAGGCTTAAATTTATTAGGTTAGTTCACAATGTTCTCACAGAGAACTTTACTTTGAGGCATGGAGCCATATGTGGTTGGGATTATTTTAAGATAAATAATGTAAGAGAATCAGCATTACATTGTTTACAGAAACTTAGGCTACGCCTGTTGCTTAAATAATTATCACATGATTTACAAGCATGGTCCATGGTAGGGTGGAAGGTCAAATTGATGTTTCTGCAGTTTTGTACTCTTGCTGGGGCCTCTGACTCAGTGTGGAATCAGAGAGGCGCTGCGGGGACCGAGATGCCTCAGGGACACCCGCTTTAATTGAAAATTGATCCCCATCACCATCTCAGGATCCAGTTTCCCAACAGCTTTAACGAGTAGAAGGTGACTAACAGGTTGGATTACAAACAAGCCTTTACATGAGAGTGAAATCTTAGCAGTGAGGAGAGGCTTGGTTATTTTTGGTTATGCGAGGTTTGGTTATGTCACTGACGATATTCACATTTTATATATTTACCTCTAAAGGGGAAACAAAACAGGGTCTCTTTTTAAAATGAAAATCATGCTTTTCCAGTGTATAATTCAGACATGTTCATGACTTTACATATATGTGTGTGTGTGTGTGTGTGTGTGTGTGTGTAAAATCTGTCTGTAGATACACACATATGTAATATACACATGTATAAACACGTATATAAAACTGATGTAAATGTAAACTGCTGGCAGCAGAAGGCAGCATATCACAGTTCACTGCAGAACATTGATTTCCAGATGTTTGGATTTCATGAAATAGGAATATAAAAAAAAAATCAGGGGGTCCAGCATGGCTTGCCAACTTTATGTTTTCCAAGATCATTAGAAAATTTTTTTTTGTCATAGACGTTAACTAGACTTGTTGTGATCATTTCACAATACAGTTGACCCTTGAATAACACGAATTTGAACTACATGGGTCCACTTATACATGGATTATTTTCAATAAATGCTGTAAATGTATTTTCTCTTCCTTATGATATTCAGTACCCCTAACCTCTGCATTGTTTAAGGGTCAGCTGTATATACAAATTCTGAATCATTATGTTCTACACCTGAAACTAATATAATGTTATATGTCAATTATATCTCAATAAATATTTTTAATTGTGGTAAAATGCACATAACATAAAATTTACCACCCTAATAACCATGTTAGGTGTATAGTTTAACAATGTTGAGTACATTCATATTGTGCAATGCAATGTTTAAGGGTCAGCTGTATATACAAATTCTGAATCATTATGTTCTACACCTGAAACTAATATAATGTTATATGTCAATTATATCTATATAAATATTTTTAATTGTGGTAAAATGCACATAACATAAAATTTACCACCCTAATAACCATGTTAGGTGTATAGTTTAACAATGTTGAGTACATTCATATTGTGCAATGCAAGATTATTTTGCAAAAAAAAAAAAAAAAAAGGCAAGACAAAAGGATCCTATTTGCTATCCTTATCATTTTATAAAAGAAAGAACATTTTAACACCAAAAGGGAAACAAAGAAGGAGGGCTGTCATCTTGGATGCAAGAACTTCTTCCATAATCTGTGGTATAATAGTATAGAGAAAAATAACCATCCATGGAAAATATAGCCATTACTCAGATTTTAAAAAATGCTAATTGTTTGTCATCTTTGCTCCAGATTATTCCTGTTCAAAGTGCCTGTACATAAACTGTTTGTTGCCAGGTCATAATGAGACAAAGAGCTTGAACCAGAATGAAATCAGCTATGTCACTAAGCACACAGTTCAGCGGCTGATACTTTTCACGGCAAGACTTTGTTGACGAAGGAAGCCGTGTGTTGTTTTACATCCTGGTGCAAGTGTCTTATCAGAGGTCCAAATGCCAGTAGCAAGCAGTTCACATAATGGCACTGGTCAGCAGCCCTGTTCTAGATCTGGTTGTGTTTTTATAGAAGTAAAAGTTGTTGGTTATATTTGAAGCCCACATATATTCACTTTGCTGTGATCCCATTCTCTTCTCTTTCTCTCCAGAGTTAACTGGTGTACTGAAGTTGGTTTCTATATATATTCTAATGGCACAAGCCCATTAGAATATATAATATCGTTTATCTTGCTTTATATAGCCTTCTGAAATTTAACTTGGTTTGCATAACATGATTTTAAATACTTATCTATCTTGATACATATAGATCTGCTTTACACAGTATTGCTTCATGTGACTATACCATATTATATTTATCTATCCTGTCAATGGATATTTGGGTTGTTTCAAGTTTTTTGCTAATACAGACAACACCGCGGTGCACATTCTTATGAGTCTTTCCTGTGCACACGAGAATGAATTTATCGGGAGAGTTATCTGGGAGGAAAGTTGGTGGGTCAAAGGTGAAGCGATGTCTTCATTAGCGTGTTAACCAACTTAGTTGTTTACTACAGCTTTTCAGGTAAATGGGGAGTGGGAAAGATAATATTAAAAATCAACCATTAATAAATTTGGTTTTCTGGACCAGATTGAGGACTGCTGATTGTTGATCTATCTAAAGGTTTAGCTCAAAGTCTGCTTGTAATAGATAATCTGGCAGATTGATTATAGTGACTTTTCTTTGGATGTGGGACAAGGACCAGCAGGGAGGAGCAAGCCCTTTATTAAGTTTCCCCTTTCCATGTGAACTAGAGAATGTTTGCATTCTTGGTCTGGGAGGAGAATGAAACTGGATGTTGTCTCTTGGGCTTTGTTACAGATGGCTTTTTTGGTCTAAGAAAATGTCGTGGGCCAAAACTTGGCCAATCTCTGCGTGTTTCTTTTTAGAGTGGCTGTGCTTTTACTCAGAGTATCGGATGATCTAAGTTTCTTTCAACCATCTAATCTGTGGTTTCTTTGAACAAGTTGGGGAGATCCAGGTTCCTTCAGGGTTAGATGTTAGAGGCATGTCCCCAACTCATCTGGAGGACTGAGAGGGTTCCCATGTCCAGCATCCATGGGTAGCCACCACATAGCCTGCTAGGAGCACTTGGAGTTTGGCTATGGACGAATCAAGCTCAGTCTAAAAGAACAAACTGAGAACTGAGACAATGTCTAAATGTGCTTGTACTTTATTCACAGCCTCTCTCTTATCTTTAGCAGATAGTGGAGTGCTTTGATCACTCCTTAAAAAACACTAAGTGAGAAGACAACGTGATAGAAGAAAAAAGCTGTAGAGACATCAAAGAAAAAAGAATAGACGAAAGCTTTCTCATTTATAGGGTCATCTCAGCCTGTCAAATAAGACTGTAACTGATCATTCTCAAATATTGCATGATGAGTTGAGTTATGGGATGGAAAGTCTGAGAGAGATAAACATATGAATAATCTGTATCAATGATTCAGGTGTCTTGCTGACAAACATTTTGTGTATAATTTGGCACATGTGACCTACTGTGGTCACCAGGTTACCAGACAAAAGCTTTTTCAGTGGTTGCTACTTGTCAAGTAATTGCTATTTTAAATATAAAGGCACATGTTTACATTTGCAAAATAATTTATTTTTTATAATCAGCTGTCCAAGCTTGAAAAACAGCAGCAGAGGAAAGAAAAGACCAGAGCCAAAGGGCCTTCTGAATCAAGCAAAGAAAGAAATGCTCCTCGAAAAGAAGACCGCAGTGCCAGTAGCGGGGCTGAAGGTGACGTGTCTTCTGAACGGGAACCGTAGTCTTCAGGGACAGAACTCAGGTAGGAGAGTCCCCTCCCTGCATAACTTTGTCTTACCACATTTTGGGCAGACAGCAATGAATAGAGAACAGAATGGCTTTTGAGGCTGAATTCACTTTATGGACATTAATCCATAGCTTTTTTTAAGTTGTTGACTTCTAGGATGGAGAGAAAAGTTAAGATGTGGGAGGGTCAGGTACCCATGGCCTAGGATGTTCACCAAGGAGGTTCTGTGTATGTCACCTTCCTCAGTTGCCTATGATAGTCAACAATTGCTGCTACCATTAGCATTTCTAGAGTGTTCGCAGATCCAGAATCCAGACCAGGAGCTTCACACGAGCTCCCACCATTGCTCAGTCCTCACCATTCTTCCTCTCAGCAGCTTCAGTGGACACCATCATTGTCTGCAGCAGCCTCCTCTCATAATTTCTTGCCTTATGTTCCACCATCCTTAACTTTGCCTTGCAAGGCACCACCAGTTTACTTTTCCTGAAATGGAGTTTTATTCTCATCACTTCTACCTCCAGGGACGCATCTCTGTTCACTGTAGCATTAACTCCACTTCCCTGCTTGAAGATCAGAGAGAGGCCTCTAAAACTTGATCCAGCCATCTGACGGTCCTTTGCTCAAGTTCAGTACCCTAGTGAACCCATTATCAAGAGCCTCTTACTTGCCACCGTTCACAAGTTCAGGGAGCAGCATAGGAATAATAACACTGCAGCATGGTGCATTGTGGTAGTGATGGGACGTGGGGTGGGGTAGAGAAGGAAATTGGGGAGGGGAGGACTCTGGAATTGGACCTCAAAGGACATGTAGAAATAAGGAGATGACGGATGAGGGTAGGGAGCTGCCTAAGCCAAGAGAAGAGCTGATGTAAACGTTGGTGGGGAGGGACAAGGACAGGTAAGTTTTGGAACAGAAGTATTGAGTGGCTGATGTATTGAGTACAAGTGGTGGGAGTTTGTCTAGGGAGCTTCTCTGACGTTAGAGAAGTAGGAAGGTTCTGGGACAGAAGGGTCTGATTTGCAACTCTAAGAAATTCGGATTTCATCCTGGGAACCTATGAAAGGTTTTAAGTGTATAAGTGACATAATTAGATAAAGTTTTAAAAGATCACTTTAAGCACCCTTGAGGAGTTGAGGCTGGAGGCAGTTGCAGAAATCAAGAGGAGTCAAGCTCAGAGAATGCATTTTGGAGCCTTCAGCTTATAGGCTGTGGGTCAACCCAAGTCAACATACATATTTGTCCTGGAGATACCTAATTGCAGGAGAAGAGAACATTCATTAGGTAGTTTCCTGCTTTCTCTTTCCTTTATGAAAGGGAGTGGAGGTTAGAAGTCTGTCTAAGAAATGTCCTTTCAGACGTACACTACTAGATATTGAAATATATTACAGAACCCATAGTGATAATTGGGTGCAATAGAACCAGCTCGCAAACATAAACAGACCAAAGGAACAGAATAGAGAGCTCAGAAAGGATGGGTTGTTAGGCAGGGGTGGGAGGGAGCAGATTGAAGGGGACTCTCTCAGTTTTTCTGTGGAGCTGCTTCTCAAGCTTCTCCTGTCCCTGCGGAGTATGTTAGAGAGAACATTCCAGTACCCACTCCTGCTCGCTGAACAAAGGGTGAAAGACAGGCTAATCTGATGGCCAGGGAGTGGCATTCATTAGGCCAAGTTTTCATACTGGATAGTTCCTTAGTTCAGGAGAAAAATCCCTGGACCCTTCCTGTTTCCACTCCTTGGGCTGAGGGCAGCTGCCCAGCCTCATGTTTTTATTCTTTTGGCCCCACTAAAGCATTGCCCTATGTCTTTTTTCTTCGGTTGTAAGTTTTGAGTTTGTTTTTGTATATGGCGTAAAAAGATCTAGTTCCATTTTTTTTTTTTTTTGCATGTATCTGTCTAGTTTTAGTTGATTCCTTTCTTGATTATATTTATCAACTTGCTAACATTTTATAAATTTAATATTGTGATTTTTTATTTAACTATGTCTGATCATTGCTTTGAAAATCTTTGTTTTATTTATTGAGGGGTATTGAATTCTACTTTTAAAATCAGTGCAAAACATAACTTTCCATTTGTGTTGGAATTTGGCCTCAGAATAATTTCAATAGAGAGTGTACCATGAACATCAGTATCCTGTAGCCACTGGACAGCCTGGAATTGACTTCGCCATTTTTGTGAGCAAGAGAAACACCTGAGAGTATCGTGCATAGAGGAAGTGACAGTAACTGTATATCACAGAACTTTCTGGAAGAGATATTTGGAAAAAAAAAAAAGCTAAGCACAAATTGAGAAGGGCAAGAGTTGAAAGTGGACATTTCTTTCTAACATCTCCCAAGCTTAAGAGGCAAAGTTTCTCATAGACTTGTAGCTATCTATTTTTTGCTTCTCTAAAACCAATGGAAAAATTTTAAATCTATGATTTCATTCTCAAGATAGTGCAGATTCAGTAGCATAGAACTTGGGCTAAATTGTACTGTTGTCCCATCAAATACCCAAAAAGAGCTAGCCAGAGAGGGAACACAGCCATGGGGAAAGCAAACTCAAGAGGCACAGTGTTTTGAAAAGAGTAGACAGATGTGTTTTCCTTCCTTTCCCCTGTAAATCAAGTTCACTGCAGCTATATTATTATTATGGCCCTAGGAAAGAAATGGGGAGAGGATGAATAAAGAGGAATAATGTAGGGAGAAGCCCCTGCCTAACAGGAGGGAAGGTGAAAGAAAGCCCTCAGGTTAGAAGAGTCACTGAGAGAGAAGATAGACAGATGCAGGGGATGCCAGAGGCCACACTTGCATTCTGGCTACCTGCTCCAGGTCAGAATCCTTGGGGTGGGAGTTAGGTTGATGGGAAAACTGCAAGCCATGAGGGCCTGTGCTCTGGTCCCTGGTGGAAATTTGAGAAGGAGACCGCTGTGCAGGATGGCTCCAGGTCTCCACAAGGCTGCTGCAGCTCAGTAAAAGGGGTGGCCAGACATGGTAGGCTTCAGGAGGTGGAAAGAGTTAATGAAAGGTCTCACCTACCCTGTGAGGGGTTGCAGAAGAGAACTGTGTGGGGATCCTTCGGGCCCACCATGGGTCTTGGTGGAAGAGGTGAGGTGAGCTTGCCTTAGAAATTGTAAAGAAACAGCTCATGTGGGAGGGCAGAGGGGTCATGGCCTCAGCTCTTAACAGTACTGATAGTCCCTGCAGGTCTTAGAAATGACCTCTTTCTGGGGAGACTTGAGGAGTCTGTAGTACTTGTGAGAGCTGAGGTAAGGCCAAGTGAGCCAAGGAGGCCTCTGGACCCTGAGCAACTGAGTGCCCCTTATTAGTGTGTGCCAGGGCCTAGGTGCTGAGCCACGTCAGCCACCTGGCCACAGAGACCACTGAGGATTGAGAGAGCTTTTTGACACCAAGGCGAGACAGCGTGACTGTGTGCGCAAGTTTTACCCTGCTCCTACTCAGTGAGATGGAGGCTCATGAGGAAGTTTAGATGGGCCCATGAATATACAGGGGCCACGTTTTTTGTGGTTTTGTTTTGTTTTGTTTTTGCACATTTAGGTTATACCATCTGTGTTTTGACTAATTGCAGGAGGAAAACCATTCATTTATTGACAGTTTAAGGTCAGCGTCCAGTTGCAATTATTCAAACCAGAGATCAGGCAGTGCAGACCTGGTGGCTGGTGCTGATGTCCAGTTGTGGATGAATGTTAAGTGAAGGGTCCTCTGAGCCTTCCTTCTGGCTGCCTCTGAGACACCCACAGGCAGTCGAGGACCAGAGAAGTCCTGTGGCACCCTCACTTTGGGGATTTTAGCCATGTTCCCAGATCTCAGATCCTAAAGGAGGCTAGACTAAAGACTATATGTTCGAGGTTTTTGTTGCCCATGGGCTTTTGTTGCCCCTTCTCATGAAATTTGTCATCCTAGTAGACCCACAAAATCGCCACCCAATATTCACATGCTATAAGAGCTGAATTAAATAGTGACAGACAGAAGATGACCTTGGCATTTGCTCTGCTCCACAGAAAAACCGCAGTGCTTGTCCCCCCTCACCCCCTACCACCTCAGCAAGAGAGCTGAATGAGCCCTAGGGAGCCTCACAGGCTCTACAGGGAGCCCCTTTCAATTTCTAAGGTATGGGAAAGAAAAGGCAAAAGAAAATGGAATGAGAAACTGCCTGATCTTGGGCATACTTTTCTTTGAAAATTAGTCAAAAAGCTTCATAGTTCAGAGGACATTCCCAAGGTGTCAGCGTATCTCTCACATTGCAAATATTGATTCTTTATTAAGTGGACATGAAACTGCTGAAATTAATTTCTGTTTTTGTCCTCTGTCTCATTCCTTCAGGCTCCCTCACAAAGCTGGGAGGATTCAAGGTTTTCTATGAAGCTACAACTCAGTTTTACTCCCTTTCTGGCCCACAGCTAAAGGCACTAGGACAAATTCTCACTAAAAGAATGCAGTTTCTGCTTTTGATTACAGGTTCAAGTATCACCTCGTTGAGTATTTACTTAACTGTTATCATTAGGCTGTGAGAGGACCATGGTCCTGACCAGTACCCCACAATTCTGTCCTCAAATGTCAATACACTTGAAAATGAAAAAGGGAATTGTTTTGGAAGCTGCCATCTGTTTGCTTTTTCAACTTGACCTTTATCTGAATAGTAAGATGTGTCATGGCTGAGCACATTGCTTTTTAATGAGCTGAAACAGTTTTGTGTTTATGTGTGTGTGTTCTATTAAAAGGATATTTCATCATTTTTCACTGTTTTATTCCCACTTTGGAAGGTGGGAATAAAACAGTGGGAGTCTTTCATTCCCAGAGCTCCACTTTGCTTCCTTGTATCAACATTCATACCAGTTCTCCAGTCCATGTGTTGGTATTTCATGATACAAAACTAGCTATGCCTCTGAGGTGGTGTTTTTATTTTTTTTTTTAACTTAAAACATTTTTCGTGATTGCCCTAGAGTTTGCAATATACATTTTAAACTAATCTAAGTCCACCTTCAAATAACTGTGCCACTTCACATGAATTACAGGTCCT